TAAGTATGCAATATAAACCTATTAACACTAATTCCATAATTACTCTCAAACTCTCATTACCAGAAGAGACACACACAAGAATGCATTGTTTCCTTCCATTTAGGCTAAGCATCTTGAGAACTGTATTTGTTTCCTTACCTGTGTGTACTAAAAAAAAAAACAACTGTCATTTTTCACCCTTTCAACATTTCCCAATTCTTTTTAAAGTCTTATTTTATTTTTATTTTTTTATATTTTATCTTAGAGAGAGAGGAAAAGGGAGGGGAGGGGAGGGGAGAGGGAGAGAGAAAATCTTAAGCAGGCTCCTCACTCAGCAAAGAGTCCAACACTGGCCTCATCCCACCGCCCTGGGATCATGCCCTGAGCAGAAACCAAGAGATGCTCAAACAGACTGAGCCACCCAGTCACCCCTCAACATTTCTCAATTTAATCTCTAATACAAGACTATGAGGATAAACATATTTGGTCTCTAACTTCAAGGAACGCACAATTCAGTGGGGAGAAAGGCATGCAATCTACAGGATATGATCATTAATGCTTAACTTTCTACAAGAGAAAAGAAAGGTTAGGTAAAGATAAAAGCAGGAAGAAATGTTGCTCTTTGAGAAATAACATACATACATTCAAAAGAGTACTCATCCATTTTCAAATACCCTTGTTGAGTTGTTAATCTGTAAGAACAATACACAGTGGAAAAATACAGTGCTGAGGCAGGAACCTTGGTTTCCCAATTCTAACACACGGTAGCTTGTGTGCCTTCAGGCTTGTCACATACCAGGGTTGGTCTCAGTTATCTCATCTAAAAAGGTCAGTATTATCTTACCAGCCTAAACCCGAATCATTTTACTAGCATAAACCAAAGTATCTAGTGGTTTCCAAGTCTAAGACCCCCACTACTCACATTCTCATATATCAGATTCCCCAAGTAATCATGGCACAGAGTACCAGTGTGAGTAAGCTAGGTGAATTATGGTTCCTAAATTGAACTTTTACATCACCAAGAGAATAAACTATGATAGGTCCTGTATTGTACTTCGAATGTGGTAGGCTCACAAAATGCGTTACACAGGCCATGACATAGTCTTAAAAAGATAATCGAGAATAACTGAATGTCTATAACTGTGTACCATTCTAGTACTACAGCAGGGTTTATTTCCTACCCTGAATTCGAGTTTCTGCACTACCGGAACCACGCCTCCTGAGAACCAGGGGATAGCAGAAAAACCTCTCAGCGGGGCAGGGAGAAAGATCCTGGGTAAGTCAAGACAAGCGTTCCCCAACAGTCAGTCAGTCAGTCAGTCAGTCAGTCAGTCAGTCAATCAATCAATTAATGAAATAAGCCATATATTTTTTCTTGCCCTCAATGAATCAATGAAATGAACCCTGTATTTTTTCTTTCCCTCCAGCTATGCAGCTGCACAAAGAGAAGCACCAGATTAGCATCATCTGCATTTCATTCCTTTTCTTGTGCAATAGCTACCCGCCTATAATAAACAGACCTTGTGCGCAGGGGAGAATCTACTTCCCCGTCCAGTGAAAATGAAGTTCCTTTTTTT